AAAAAAAAAAAAAAGAAATATATATATATATATATATATTTATATAATTTTGTAGGTTTCAGCTAAAGCAATGCTTAGAGGGAAATTAGAAAGAAGGTTAAATGCCGTTTTTAATCAATGATCTAGGTATTCCCCATAAAAGGCTAGAAAAAGCAAATCAGATGACAGTTGAGGAAGCTCTTTAATACACATGTAGTTATTAGTCATGGACTTAAGGTAAAATACCATATTGAAGAATGAAAACACAGGAATTCTGAACAAACAGAAAAATGACAAGCCAGTTTAAAAAATGGAGACCTTAGATTAAAAAAGATCACATTGGAAATGAAAACTTCACTGGATATACTCAACAGCAGACTGGATAAAGCAGAAGAAAGCATCAATATACCTGAGGATCCAAGGAAATTGTGCAGAGAGAAAAATCAATAAAATAAAAAATAGATCAAAATAGAGCAGACATAAAAAAAAACCTACATATAGTGATTAGATCAGTATAATTAGTATATTCATCATCTTAAACATTTGTAAATTTTTACATAGAGAACCTTCAATATCCTCATTCTACCCACTTGAAACTATATTTTACTACTGCCAACTACAGTGAGCCTACAGTACTCTGGAACAATAGAATTCATTCCTTCTACGTAGCTCTATAAATCTTTTTTTAAAAAGGCTGCCTATACTTTATTATAGAAGGAAGTAGGCCAATTTGCATATTATTTTCAATACATAGCTTTTCATTTGTGTTTAATTAATTAAATATCCAAAAACATATAGTACATGTAATAAGAATTTAAATAATACAATTAAGTAAAAATACCCCTTGGGATGCTCACACCCCACGTCCCCCATCCTCCTTGCCCTTCCCAGAGGTAACCATTATTTTCCACTTAATGTGTACGCTCCAAGCCTTTTCCTAATGTTTGCACATGCATAACTATAGAAATATTTGTAGGTTAACTGGTTTGTTTCACATATGAGGTTTCTATGAACCCCCTGAGAATTCGTAACTGCCCCACAATAGAAACAGCAATTAAAGCAAAGTCCTTTCCCTTTCTTAACCCCCAACCAACATCAACTCTAGAGGAGCCAGGGGCAGGTAATGAATGGGAGAAAGAACAATCAAGAAACAGGCCATTAACTGGTCCTCAATAGAAGGTCCAGAGCCAAGGGCCATGCCAAAAACTGGGAGGTAGGAAAGAGGGGTAGGAAGAAATGATGAATTAGCTTAAAACTGAACCTCAAAATTGGAACAGGTCATCTTACATCTTTTACATATTTTGACAATTTTTACCTTTTGGAGGGGGAGAATTAATGTCTATTTCATTTTTTTTAGTTTTTATATCTACCATTTTCCTGTTTTCTTTTAGGTCTTATATGTTCTGTTTTGCTTTTATTTTAACTAAGTAACATTTTAATACCTGAAAATTAAACCATTGTCAAAATTGAACTATCTTATAAATGTACATGACAAGAAATCACTGGAAACTGATGGGGATATCATTCATAAGTAGGGAAGGAGAAATAATCAAAATACATATAATAGTTGTTGCTAAGAAATTACACTATTTCCTATCTTAACCCTATCCAGTTCAGTAAATAGTTCAGCACATTCAGAAAACTGCCCTAAGCTTGTAAATAACAGATTTTTTCAAATATTTTTAACAAATTAATTTTTAATGAAAATATTTTCTCCAGAGCCTCAGTATGCTAGTACTTTCCCCAGCATAGCACCTATCAAGCAATGTAAGTTGCCTACATGTTTATCTATACCAGATGTCACCAAACTGCCACCAGAAAGCTGAATCTAGCCCAGGGTCTTTACATTTTCTAGAA